CCCCAGTCAGGCTGCCACTGCTACTCTCCTCTAGCACCTTCTTGTATTAAAGAGCTTCGTGGAGTAACTCTTGCCCAGAGATAACTGCGTGCTGGGGCTGATGGGCATGTTGTCAGCAGGCCACAACCTCAAGGATCAAGGCGGCCGAGTGGCCAGCAACCCTGGGCAGCATCCCCATTTCATTGCCTGAATGGAAAAACACTCGTGTGGAAAGCACTCAGCACAGGCGTGTTGTGCACATACGTGTGCATAAAGACTCTCCTTCCCCTGCAGGGCGTGCCTGAGGACCTGCTGTTCTTCTACAACCACCTCAGGAAGGGCGGTGGTGTTGTCCGGGTGGACCAGAGCCTCCTCCTCTACCGCTACCATCCCAGCGCAGCCACACACTCCATCCTCGAGTACGTAGGCCCCCAGACCTGGGGCGGGGCGGGGGTGCTGTGGACTTTGAGGGGCCAGCTGAGGTCCAGGGTCCAGTGTCCAGTGTGAGGTTAACCTGAGAGAGAATTCACGTGTATGAAGTGAGCCCTGCACACCTCTAACATGATTGCAGGTGGGCTAGGGGTGCCCTTTTCTTTTGCCCCAACTGAGGGGAAGGCTTTGATGAACGGGTTGAGCCACCCCTCACCTGGGGCATCACAGGGAGCCAGCCCACTCCCTCTTTCCCTTCTCTTCCGTCGAGCACAGCCCACATGTCCCCCAGGCTCCACAGCCGCCGGCCTGAGCCACTGTGCCAGGTACGAACTGGAGGCTGACTGCTGGGGATGGGGCAGGAGAGGTGCAGAAGAGGCAGGTAGGTTGAAAGAAGGGGTGTCTCTCGAGTTCAAACTGTGTGTTGCGTTTGTGTGCACATGTTTGTGTGCAAGTTACACTTTCTCACAATTACACGTGTGTCCCCCTTGGATCCTCACCATCGTAATGCTGCTCATTTTTGGGGACAGGAAGGAATGGGCTCTTCAGACAGGGCTGTCGTCAGGAGATCCTCTGAACGTAAAGAGCTTGAGGCAGGGACATGCACTCGTGTTTCTGGAGGTTGAGCTGACACTGTCCTTCCCTGGAGGGTGTGAGACCTGTCAAAAGGCTATGGCTTCTCGACTGGGACCCTGTCCTGGGAGGTGTCCTGTCCACGTACGCTGAGGGCTGCAGCATCAGGGTCACGGCGGGTGCGATGCCAACTTGTGCGTGTCATGTGTGGGGTCCCAGATGGCAGCCTCCATGTTGACTTGTGAGGTGCTTGAGCTTCCACGTGTGCTGTTCAATGTGAGAACACAGAGCTGGGAAGGGACTCGATTCCCGTCCTTGTGGAATCTGAACTTGGGTGCCATGGCTTTAGTGAAGCGTCACTGTTGGGGTTTGTGTCATGAACAAGTGTGACTTACACACTGGGGAAGAGGTCCTCTCACAGGACACAACCACCCTACATGTGTATTTCCCTAATCACAGAGCTTCAAGACCCAGGAAGCAAAACCTAACAGAAACAGGGAGAAGTAGGCAAATCCACAGTTAAAGCTGGAATTTTTAACACTCTTATCTCAGTAACTGATAGAAGAAATAGGGGGATCTGTAAGGATGCAGAAGACTTGAACAGCTGTGTCAGCCATTGTGAGCTAACAGTTACAGAGGGAGTACTGTACCCAGCTGCAGAATACACATTCTTCTAAAGTGCAAGACAGGATATTTTGGACTAATAAACAAATTTGAATAAACTTCTAATGATTGAAATCATATAGGATATGTTTCATATCCATACAGAATTAAATTAGACATCATTAAGCCATCTTGAAAATCCAAAGTATTTTGAAATTAAACCACCAAGGCGGGGGGGGGG